CCGTTGCTGCTCGTAACCCCGCCGCGAGAGCGGCGCCGGTGCCGGAGAGAGGAAGGGAGAGAAGCGTGAATCTGCCGAAATCGACTAGCCGAAGGTCGGCGCGCTCGCTCTCTCCGCTCAGAGACACCCAGTAAAATCAGTGGGAAGAAGAAGAGCAAATGAATAATTCACAGAAGAACTCTTCGCCGCCGAGCTCTGTTTGTTCGGCCATGTCGGCGGCGTGTGGGAAAGGGCAGAAGAAATGGAGGCTGAAGGACTTCTTCCTGTTCCGCAGCGCGTCGGAAGGACGCGCCGCCGACAAAGACCCTCTGAAGAAGTACACTGCGGCGTTCAGACGGTCGAGCTTCGGAGGAACCGATAGCCCCGGGTCAGGGTCAGGATCCGGTTCGAGAAGAAGGGGACCGGTTTCGGCTCACGAGAGGCATTACAATGTGAACCGGGCGGTTTCGGAGGATCTGAAGAAGAAAAGCTTCCTACCGTACAAGCAGGGTATTTTGGGGCGGCTCGCATTCAATCCCGCCGTACACGCCTTGGCCAATGGCTTCGGCTTTTCTCGTAAATGAATATATAAATTAATTATTTATTTTGCTTAAATTAATCTTTTTTTCCCTTTGTTAATTTTGGATTTAATTCATGCATCAACAATTTTTATACGATGTGCAAAAATGTTACGCTTTGATTGAATGATATATGTTAACGTGTGTTTTTATGTGTTATAGACTTATAGTACATCATTTTTTTTTTGTTCAAATACTACAATCGGATTTTCATAAGTTTTAATTCAATTTTTCTCCATTTGAATCACATATAAAGCGAAGTAATCGGTTATTCAAAAATATAGTAAAACCGCACCGATGACTTATTATTCGAAGATTTGAACACATTTACATAAAATCATTTGAAAGTTCTTCATACATTTTACACTCTCGTACTAGTTTGCAAATACGAGAAACGTGAATCACACTAGGTTAACCATGAGTGACAAACTCGACCTAGCAATTGTTGACAATGAGATTCGAACATAAGTCAATTAACACATGCTCACTTAATCCAACAGCTAGGCCGAGACTTATAGTCCAATTTAATTAAATATGAATGTGTCGGTAATGTAAAGGGACATATCCTAAATATTTTTCCAATATTCATATCCATATTGAGATTATTACATAAGCCAATCACTATCTGGTTGTTGAGAACAGACAAAACACAAGTTGGTGCTATGTGCCTTAGGTTG